AACTCAGCAGCACAGATGACCATGCAGTCCCCCCAGAATCGTAGAGCATAGAATGTTTCTACGCTCCCCCTATCATCTCCATCCCTGAGGTTATCGCAGATTAGAAGGCGAAAAAAAATGCACTCGCGATGACATGTTTTCCGAGCTCATGAAGTCCTCCCACACTGATAGGGCACAGCTTAATGCATGGAGGCATTCAGAGGCAAAGGCCAGGAAAGAATTAAGTGAGCGCAAAGAGCAGAGTCAGGACGCGATGCTGAGGCTAATGGGGGAGCAAACGGACATGATGAAGCGTCTGTTGGGGAAGCAAACGGACATGATGAAGCATCTGTTGGAGCTGCAGGAAAGCCAACAAGAGCACAGACCCCCACTGCATCCACTGTATAACCGCCTATCCTCCTGCCCATGTTCCATAGCCTCCTCACCCAGACGCCCAAGAATGCAGGGGAAGAGGCTCCAGGTATCCAGCCACTCCACTCCAGAGGATGGCTCAAGCAACAGAAGGCTGTCATTCAAACAGTTTGATTTTTAATGTGGCTACAATAAGCAATGTGGCCTTGTCCTTCCCTCCTCCCGCACCCAACCCGGGCTACCTTGTCCGTTATCCTCATTCTTTTTTTTAATTAATAAAGAATGCATGGTTTCAAAACAATAGTTACTTTATTTCAAAGGAGGGAGGGTGGTTGGCTTACAGGGAATTAAAATCAACAAAGGGGATGGGTTTGCATCAAGGAGAAACACACACAACTGTCACACCGAAACCTGGCCTGTCATGAAACTGGTTTTCAAAGTCTCTGATGCGCAGCGCACCTTGCTGTGCTCTTCTAATCGCCTTGGTGTCTGACACAAAACAATTGTCTGCCGTTGCTTTCACGGAGGGAGGGGCAACTGAAGACATGTACCCAAAACCACCGTGACAACGTATTTGCCCCATCAGGCATTGGGAGCTTAACCCAGAATTCCAATGGGCGGCAGAAAGTGTGGGAACAGTGGGATAGCTACCCATAGTGCACCGCTCCATAAGTCGATGCTAGCCAAGGTAGTGAGAACGCACTCCGCCGACTTAATGCTCTTAGTGTGGACATACGCAATCGACTGTATAAAATAGATTTCTAAAAATCGACTTCTATAAAATCGACTTAAGTTCGTAGTGTAGACATACCCTTAGAAATAAATGCTTTTCTGTTCCCTTATATACTAGTATTTAGGTAAAGGGAAAGGATTCCTTTGCTGACTTTTTAAATCTGTATTTAAATGACAATTAATGAAGCTCCACAGTGATGTGATTGAAAAGCTATGAAATACAGACACAAACATTCTAGGTGTCAGTTCTTTTGAAGTCTCTGCAACCCACACAAGTTTCTAAGGAACCTCGCACTTGCTTAAATAAAAATAAGTTCCTAAAGATTAGAATGATCTTTTAATGGGAAGTCAATTTTAATTATCCTGCGTGAACACATTTATAAGTCATCTTTTAAAAAGAAAGCCAGAGTTATAATGCATTAAACCAAAAATTTAGTGCATTCTGTTCGCATCATCATTTCTATTTTACTCTTTTGAAATATACAGCCCCATAGGAAGGACACTCAATCAAAGCTCAACAGACTAAAACTAATAAAGAAAAACTCAGAATCCAGAAAGTGGAACAAAAGATATTAGCTAACATATTCTCAACCCACAGTTTAAACAGAATGCTGCCCTCGAGTACAAATGACATCCAATTTTCAATAAATAACTATTGCTCAAACAAGACTATTAAGCATACATACAAATGTAATCTTTAAAATGAAACATTTATTTGGAGACTGCCTTTTTAAGAAGTCAATATTTACTTTAAAATATTTTAAATGCAAGAAACAAGCTGGCTTTATTATAGTAGAGCAGCAGCACCACTATAGTTAAGGTTGTGCCATGACCTCTGAAGAAGTGGGCTGTAGTCCACGAAAGCTTATGCTCTAATAAATTTGTTAGTCTCTAAGGTGCCACAAGTACTCCTGTTCTTTTTGCGGATACAGACTAACACGGCTGCTACTCTGAAATCTGTTTAAAGATGTTCTAAGTACTCTAAAATCAACAAGCTTAGTCAGAATTCTCTCTTAGAATTCTTTCACTTATCTATCTAGTTCAGTGGTACCTATACTTTTCAGTCATCGTCCCCCGCCTTCCCCTTACTCCTGTCCGCAACCCCAGGAGGCACGGTCAGGAGCCCGGGCCAGGAATGGAGCCACAGCTCCTGCCGTTGCCCCGGAATTTGACATTCTTGCCTTTACCCCAGAACTTGACAGTACTGCAGTCAGCCATTTTGTATGTTTGTTCAGCCACTGCCGGCTAAAAACCAAACATCACAGCTAGGAATAATCTTAGGCCTTTGTGAGACAAGGTCAGATAGCTGCATATTTGCAGTTTGTTAATCAGAATGGGAGGATGGGATAGAAAGTTATGGAAAATGAGTGAATAGCGACCTTGGTTTTAGGTGCCCCTGACATATTGTTGATATGGCTAGAAATACTAGACATTTCTGAGATAATGATAAATGTGTTGAAATTAGACGAATAGATGACCCAATAGAGGTTATTGTGCTGACTCACTAGGAGTCACTATAAGGTTATGTGTTTTGTTAAAATTAGCTATAAAAGATTAAAGTAAATACCTCGGAGTAGTCCAAGGAAGCTTTTCTCAGGGCAAGGAACTGATATCTAAACTCCCCATCAGTTGGACAGAAAGAGGGCTTCTGGAAGTCCGGCTGGTGATTACTCAAAACCATCTCAGACTGTAGATAACTATAGCTGGGATGTCCCGAACTACTGTTTATGTCTGTGTGCGCTTAATATCTAATAAATTGTAGTTTTAGATAAGAGCACACTTTCTTGTATTAATCATTTATCAGACACAATAGCTGTGTTCCCACTGATTTATTCCTGACACCACCTGGAGCGAAACAGTTAAGCTACCACTGTTTTGGGTTCTGAAAACCCAGGGTAACACCAGAAGGGGGTAGGGGGGGCGGTGTGGACTGGAGTAAGGGGGAAAAGGCTAGGGCCGGAGCTGTGGCCAGGCCATAAACCAGGGGCTGAGGCCCGGGCCACAGCTGGGGGCAGGAGCAAGGCCGGCAGGTGGGGGAGGGACTGGGGCCAAAGCAGAGTTGGGGGTAGAATGGGGCTGGGTGGCACTCCCTCCCTGCCCCCCCATGGGGGCTGACCCAGACCCCATCGTGTCCCCCTCCCCTCCAATGTTCCTCCATGCCCCAATAGGGAGGGGCACGCCACAGTTTGGGGACCACTGATCTAGTTCCTTCCCAAGTCACAACAACTCTATTTTCACTTTTAAATGTAAGAATTTACAAACCTCCATCCATCCTTTGCGAGGTAGCTAAAGGCTCCATCAACAACACTTGCAAAGAACTGCCCTCCTGTGATGAAGAGAGTATTAATGGTAACTAATCTGCCTCTTAAGTGGGGTGGAGCGACCTCTGCGATGTATACTGGTACTGTCATGGAAGCCACACCTACAAGAAAAAAGTGATTAATTAAACTTACAAAACTGTACACAACATTCTCTGTAGTCATGAAGCATTAAAGTACAGTATATAATAAATGTGACAGAAATTGTACACACTTGATTTCTGAGTTTCAACTGAGAAAACTAACAGCAGCATTTTGTTGCACTGCTAATAAGCGCTAGAGAATGGTTATCTGAAGCAGATGGACACAGGCATTGGGAAGTAATAATAATTACCATGTTTGTGAATATTCAGATTCACAATACATAAATGAATTTAAAAATAGAGTTTGGCATCATAAAACAAATCACAGATTTTTAAGCAAAAACCATCTAAAATGAACTAAAGATAACCCTAAAATATGAGCAAATATATTTATAGTTTCAGTTTAAGGGAAAACAAGCAGGTACAGTACCACATGAAACTGAGTTGGAGTGAAACAGAGTCAGACATTTATAATCTAAATACAGTAACTCCTCACTTAAAGTCATCCCTGTTAACATTTCGTTGTTGATCAATTAGGGAACATGCTATTTAAAGTTGCGCAATGCTCCCTTATAACATTGTTTGGTAGCCACCTGCTTTGTCCACTGCTTGAAGGAAGAGCAGCCTGTTGCAGCTAGTGGAGGAGGGGGGAGGGGAGGGGCTTGGAACCAGGGTGGACCAGCAGCCCCCCTATCAGCTCCCTGCTCCCCTAAGTTCCCTGTGCGCAGGGCCGGCTCCAGGCACCAGCTTACCAAGCAGGTGCTTGGGGCGGCCACTTCGGAGAGGGGCGGCACGTCCAGCTGTTCGGCGGACGGTCCCTTACTCCTGCTCGGAGCGAAGAACCTCCCGCCGAATTGCCGCCGCAGATTGCGATCGTGGCTTTTTTTTTGGTTTGGCTGCTTGGGGCAGCCAAAACCCTGGAGCCGGCCCTGCCTGTGCAGCAGCCACCCAGCAAGCTATCAATTGCCGGCAGTTCAGCTGTCCCTCCCCGCACTGCCATGTAGTGCTTCTACCCTCTGCCTTGGAGCTGCTCCCGGGAGCCTCCTGCTTGCTGAGCGGGGCGGGAAGAGGGGGCTAATGTCAGGGTGTCCCCCTGCTCCTGCCCCCTGTTACCCCATCCATAGAGCAGGGGGGAGACACGACAAGACTCATGACGGAAGGAGCTTGCTGGCCGCATCTGCTTTCTCAACTTGCTGATCTATTTAAAAAGGCAATGTACTTAGAGTGGGATCAGTGCACTTAAAGGGGCAATGCGCATCTCTCTCACACACACAGGGTGTGTGTCTCTGTCTGCCATGCTGTCTCCCCTCCCTCCATTCGTGCTGCCTTGTAGAGTGTGAGGCTACATTAACAACGTGTTAACCCTTGAGGGCTCAGTTGAATGCTAGTTCATCATTTAGCAGCAAGGCATTCCCTGGGAAATATCCCACCCTCTTCCACCCTCTGACTTCACCACCTCAACCAAGCTTCACAATCATCATTGCGGTGTACAGTATTAAATTGTTTGTTTACAATGTATACTGTGTGTGTGTATAGTTTTTTGTCTGGCGAAAAAAATTCCCTGGAACCTAACCCCCCCATTTACATTAATTCTTATGCGGAAATTGGATTTGCTTAATATCATTTTGCTTAAAGTCACACTTTTCAGGAACGTAACTACAACGTTAAGCGAGGAATTACTGTAGATACATGACAACCATTAGCAAAGTATTGAAAGCTTTGATTAACACATAGGACCTGATGCTGTGCAGCCACAGCTCTCCCTGGCTTCAAATGAAACTCTGGATGCTCTCCACCTTTGGAAAAAAAACAGCGCCATTCCCCTTACGGGTGGGGAATTTCATTTATGTTTAACAGAAGTTAAGATTCATTGTATGACTGCT